GCTTAACTTGCACTTTTTAACCTGCCTTCCCTTCTAGAATTCTTATTTTATATCTTACTCACTTGAATATATGCATTTATATTGCACCATGTTCTAAACAGAAGTTGATATTTTTCCCACCTTTTCTCCACATTCCAGTTTTGATTCACTAAATTCCTTGTCAATTAAATGTATTACCAGTCAGTAAAGTGAATGAGAGAGAAATCTGATAAGACTCTCCAATTTTTTTAAATACTCTCATTACACCTTGCTTTCCCCTGTTCTGGGCTTGCCTTCTCCTCTAAGCTTACCTTCTTGAAAGTATAGTACACTTACTGTTTCTAATTCCTGATTTTTCATTTATTCTATTATCTTAATTTTACTTGCAACCCAATTACTCCACCAAAACTGTTCTCATAGAAGTCATCAAAACTTTCTGTTGTCAAATCCAACTGTCGCTTTTAGTAAATATATAATCTAGATATTTTTCATGCAGGTACTGTTGACCATGAACTGTTTATGAACCCTTTAAAATGTTCAGCTTCTATTACACTAATTTAGTCTAGTTCTTTGCTCTTCTCTGTTTCTGCTTGTCTTTTAAATATTGATATATGGCAGGGTTTCAACTTTGGTCAACTGATCTTTCTGCCAACACTTTGCTTGTGTGAATGAACCTACTTATTTTTTTATATACCAATTATTTGAAAAGATTTTTTTCCCCAAAGAAACAATTCCAATCAAGATGTTTGTGACCTAACTGTCTATCTACCTTGTCTTTCACTCAGGTCACTTCAAGTAGATATACCCACAATAGAAACGTTTGCATCTCATGCCCATTTTCTCTCCTCAAACCTCTCTTGTAATTACTGACTACTTCAAGCCAGAGATTGAAAGGCCTCCTAAACATATCATCTACTTTATTTTCATAATCAATCTATTATGCAGTTTCACCAATTCCCCTGACTTATATTTGTGTGAATGGTAGTTCTACTATCACTGTTCAATATGGTAACCCCTACATCTCTCTTCTGGATCAAGATAAAAAAGTACTGAATGCTTTTAGCATACACTTACACTTTATCTGTACCATACCAAATCTCATATAATCCTTACAAGATCCCTATAAGATAGGATCTGTTATTATTAGACTTTTACTAAGAGTAGCAGAGCACAGGCAGCTCCCTAGCTCATTCTGATTCAAGAGTCCCACTTAACATGATATTGGCTATCCTGTTGCAAATAAATCCTAATTGATCTCTTAGTTCCTAATTTATATTTTTGCTTCAATTTTATTCCCTCCCTTTAAGTATGTCAAAATGATCTTTTTTAAAATACAAATTGAATGTCTCTCTTCTGTTCCATATCACCCTCAAGCCCAAGCTCCTTAGAAAAGCTCTTCATTACTGCACACCTTCATCCTGTCACTACTTTCCCATACCACCTGACACCACGTCAAAATCCATGCTCTAGTAATAGAGGTATTTGCCATTTCCTCCAGAAAACTTGCTTTTCATGTTCATTTTCTTTTTTTGGACTCTTTTCATTAAAACTCATCTTTCTAGGTTCCAGTCAATTGCCATCTACTCCAAGAAAGTATCCTTTAACCCTTAACTTGAATTACCTACTCCCTTCCCCGTACTATGAAATACTCCACAGACCTCTATTTAACACTTGCCATAATTTCTCCTTGTGATTATAAATTATTTTAAAGGAAGGGACAAGTCTTATTTATGTTTTTACCCCCAGTGTCTAGCACATTATCAGGTACATGTTAGGCATTCACATTCAGTTGAACTGAACTATTACACAAACTAAATATTGCAAATGTCTTAGTTATCATCCTCTTCTTCACCTCCAAATCCAATATTTCTCTGGAGAATATGATCTGTTTCACCTAAACATGTGTCTTAATTTCATCTTGTGTTTTCATTTTTTTCTGTTAGATGGATTCTTATTCAATTCTTTGTTACTGTAGTTTTACTTCAAAAATAGCCTCCCATCTCACCATCCTGCATGAGATCTTCCTTCCTTCACACTCAGCGGCGGCTCCCAAATGTCCTGGAGCACAGGATCACCCGAGGAGCTTGTCCAAGTTTCAGGCTTCTGGGACCAACCTCAGAGATTCAGATACAGTGAATCTGTGGTGAGCAGGAGGCATATGCACTTTTTTATTTTTTTTAAATATACTTTTATTGATTTCAGAGGAAGGGAGGGGGAGAGAGAGAGAAACATCAATGATGAGAGAGAATCATTGATCGGCTGCCTCCTACACGCCCCCTACTGTACTGGGGATCGAGCCAGCAAGAACCTGGGACCCTTCAGTCCCTTGGCCGACACTCTATCCCAGTCATGGTGAACCGATGACACGCATGTCAGAGGTGACACAGGAACTCATTGTTTTGGTTGATTTTTCTTAGTAAATGGCATTTAAATATATAAAATAAATATCAAAAATATAAGTCTTTGTTTTACTATGGTTGCAAATATCAAAAAATTTCTATATGTGACACGGCACCAGAGTTAAGTTAGGGTTTTTCAAAATGCTGACACACCAAGCTCAAAAGGTTCGCCATCACTGCTCTATCCACTCAGCCAAACCAGCTAGGGCAAGGCATATGCACTTTTAACAGGCATTCCAGGTACTTCATGGCAGGTGATCCATATACCACAGGTGGAGACATTCTGCTATCAGTAAAATTTCTTCCTAAAACTCATATTAGATCAAATTATTACTTGCTGAAATGCTTTTGATGTCTCCCTTTCATCTAAAAGTGCATTGTAAAATCATTCTCATGTGGCCCAGAAATGTCTGCAGTTTCCATTCCTGGCCTTTGAAGAACATCTCTGTCCCCACCGCTCACCTCCTTGTATCCTGTCCCCTTTTGTATCACACACACTCTGTGCTCTATTTATGCCAGATGCTTTTTTTTGCCCTCACTTGGAAATTATTAGATTGGATTTGTGTTACATCTGCATACCTGCAGTGCCTTCCGGGCCATTCTCCAGCTCGGAGCCTGCTGCTCATCCTGCCAGCTACAACTCCCTTATCCCTTTCCTGGTGAAGCTCTCTCTGAATCGGGTGCCTCGCCGCCATCCTTCCTCCTCCTGCTCTGGCCAAATTCATTGCTCCCCTGTTTCTTGGCATCACTCTTTCTCACATACATCCAGAACATCGCTCAGGGCATGCAAAGTCTTTCTTATCTGGTGTCAGTTGACCTAGAGAGTCCATAATGGAGAGATCCTATATTGTTTACATTTTATTCCCAGGCCAGGAATTGCTTTTTACTAAATGTTCACACTATTGTAGCTTCCTTCAAACAGGAATGCCTCTTTCCACAGTGACAAGCAGCTTCAGTGTGAAAAAAGCAGTAATTTGAGGGAAAGCCAGTGTATGTGGATATCAGCACATTGGCATGTTTTGCCAAAATATTTTTAAATTGTCACTTCCAAATAAGATATTCTTTTCTTTCAAGTTTCAGAAAATTTTTATCTAACCCCAGAACAATGGAACTGTGCCTTATGGAAGGACTGGAGTTGTGTTGGAACTTTAAAAAATGCCAGAGTCACCCCTATCTGAGTCCTCTGTTCAGTGTCTGTCAGTGTTTTCAGCTCTGACAGACTTGGCAGTGAAGAGGCCTCTACATCCAGTGACATAATGTGGGAAGGAGTTAGACATGCAGAGTAAGAGGCACACAGAGAAAAGTGAGCAGGGTCACTCCCCCCCCCTTCCCCTACCTTCCTTGCCCCCCATTCAGGCAACAAAGGATTATCAGAAGTCACTAATTTAAGTCCATGTACAAATTTGTGTTCTCTCATTAAAAACAGTGTTTGTGAAATGAATAACTTATTAAGGAGGGGTTTGCAAAGCTTTATTTAAATTGATCTTGAAGTTGTTGACCTTTCTTTACTTTTTGTAGTTGTGCAAGGAATGTAAGTCTTGCTTTGTTGTTGTTGTTTATTTACTTGTAAATGATAGATGAATGAGAGGATATATTTGAGCAATCATCTTTTGGGGGATGCTTTCAAGACAAGTGAGAATAGTGTTTAAAATATGAATTACCCAACGATTTTGCTGAAATAGATTGCAATCATGCTGCTCAACAGGGAACTGGAAATAAGAGAGACCATTGATAATTCCACAGTGCAAAGTGTGTGAAAGTACAAGGACACTATGATTTACCCGTCGGATTGGTAATGTTAAGGACGAACAGTTTCCAACTGTTATCAGATTGGAAGTGGCAGAAAGCTGAATGAGGAGCTGTGAATTATTCAATGTTTATCTCCCAGGTCCCAGAGATCCTGATGTAGATGGTGAGGGAGGGCGGTAGTGATGTGCTGCCAAGAGCTTCAGGTTTGGTTTGCATTACTTTTATATGCACGCACAGCGCAGAACAAAGGGTGGACGCTGACCTGCAGCTATTCCTAGTGCTGGGCTTGTTCACTTCCTTAGGATAATGGTTACTTCTCAGTTTGGAAAAGCCAAGTGCACCCTCTGAGCACGGAATCGCTGTGCCAAATCTCTTTAAAAGCCCTGGTAGCGCTTGGTGTGAAACTGAAAAGACTTCCTGATCCGGGGTGTGTATTAATGTCCTTATGTCCCACGAAGGACTCGCGGAGAGTGATCACACTGAGCATAGTAAAGACATGATCCCAACTTTCCTTTGAATTATACAATCATCATTGCTTTTTTTTTTTTTTTAAGTAAAAGGCTCCGTTCTTTAAATAAACATTTCTCTGGCATTTCAGTTTCTTTTCCACTCATTCTGCTACATGACACTCCTATGGGGTTTTCTGGTTCTTCATGGAATTAGCCTACAGAGCATGCACAGCAAACAATAAAATAGCCGCTTTTCATTGAAAATAAAGAGGGGGTGTTTTCCGCTCCCCAACAGTACTCTCCACCACTGCCCCATCACACGTTGTTGCATTTCCTGCCCTATTGGCAAGACGGCCCCCACCCCCGCCTTCTTCCTCCCCAGCTCCTTGTGCTCCTGGGCGGATTTGGAGCCCCCGCGTGCAGTCCGGTCCTTCAGCGTTCGCTTCCGTCGGCACTAGGACCCAGGGAAGTCCCTGAGCGAGGTTCGCGGAAAGGCAGCCAGACTCCTCCTTATCTCCAGTGTCAAACTTGACATCAGCCTGCGAGCGGAGCATGGTAACTTCTCCAGCAATCAGAGCGCTCCCCCTCACATCAGTGGCACGCTTCATGGAGATATGCTCCTCTCACTGCCCTCTGCACCAGCAACATGGACTGTCACCTCTCCATCCTCCTCCTCCTCCTCCTCAGCAGCTCTGTTCTCAACTGCTTCGGGGAACTGACTCTCCCGCCGTCCAATGAAGGTAAGTCCGCCAGGTACCGGCGCACGGCCCTGCCCCGCGGCTAGTGCTCCGCAAAGCACTTTCTCACCGAAACCTTCTCAGGTCCTTAAGGTGCTTCCGAAAAAAAGGCAGTTTGCTCAGAGAGGAAACTGAAGATATGTTTTTATTTTCGGCTGTCTTTGAAAACATTTTAAGAGATAATTTTGGATTGCCTAAGCCTAAAATGTGTTTTTAATCGGATACCAATGCAGACGACTACCTTGTTTGACATTTTTAAGCAGAAAGAAAGAAAAAGTCTTTAGTTTTTCAACCCAGGATGTTAATTGTCAAAGAGCCATGGCAGTATTTTATTTTCTAATTATGACCATGTAGTACTCTGAGAAGTTTAAAAGAAAATTTAGCCCACCCTCTCTAGATCTTTTAGTAGGTTTTACCATAATGACAGGTTGTTCCTACTTAGGATCATGGCATTTATGGATGAACTAAAAGGAAATTAGAGTTTGTAGAAGCAGAGGTGTGTGTGTGTGTGTGTGTGTGTGTGTGTGTGTGTGTGTGATATTTATATTGCAACTGCTGTATCAGTGATGGGTATCCTGCCACACAATGCTTTGCTCCATGGTACAGGTTCTAATGAGCAGCATATGCCACATTAACATAAGTAATATTTGCAGGAATTACAATAAGCTTAGGTTGGCTGTTCTTTGTTTAAGGGCTTATATTTGAACAGGAGAATGTATATAACGAATAGTGAGAAGATCCTGGGTAGGTATAGTAAATAACTGAACAGCAAATTAAGAAGGAATGTTCATATGCAGCAAATGACATTTCCTTTATGTTGGGTTATTTATTTTCCTCCTAGTGGAAAATAAATATGTCTGTTTTTAATGAATTAACTTCCAAACTTAATATTAAAGACACAACGTTTCCTAGAAGATTGTGTACTTAATAGATGCATTACCTTTTCTCTCTAAACCTTTTGTGATATTCCTAATTGCGAATACAATCGCTTACTCATAAGACAAACTTCTCTGAGTAATTGATTGCTTTAAAGCAACACTTATAACTTTGATTTTCCCTTAATCATTTTAACCTACAATGGTATTTATTAATTTATTTTGCAGTTTAGCAATATTGAACAATTGATGTGCAAATACTACATTATATATTATGTCACACACTAAAAATGTATTGTCAAGCCAATACTTTGTATATTGTATGCATTATTATTTTAATAAATTCAAAATATTTAGAAAATTTAAAATTAAATATAGACATTATCTCTCATATTAGTGACCTACTTTCATTGCTAATAGAGTAGTTTTATTTTGTTCTTTCCTAAGTGACTGCCTTTATCAATTTGGCTGATTTCATTATATTTTTGTGTGTCTTTTTAAAATTGGGAACTTGAAAATTCTAAATAAAGATAAAGAAAATCATCTTACCTACAAATGACTTTTCTTTTAAAATCAAGTAAATGTTTATTTGAAAGTAATTGTCAATCATTCTTCATAAATGAAAGGCAAGAGCAGTCATTTATATGACGAGTAACATATCAGTAAGTTAAAATTAGTGTTTGTTTAACCTTTTACTTTCTTTGAAGACATTTAAATATTCACAATAACTAGAATAAATAGCAAGATTATTCCCATATTACTATGATAAACTGTATTTCTCCAGATGGACTATTTATAAACTATTTAGATCATGGATTTCACTGAATTAATAATGCACAAGGATATAGCTGAGAGTCAGTACGTTTCAGTGATTTGCAAGAGAAACAAATACCCTTTAAACTTATGCACACTTCTATAAAATTAATGCATATCAATTTAACAGAGGAAGAATAAGCAAATGCAAATTGCTTTTAAGCCATACCTTGTGCAGGTCTGGGTATATAATGCACATTATTATATAGGCAGGTACACATTAATAATATGTATATGGAAATGTAACTGTACTCAGAAAACTGACATAATTGCATTTAGTTTGCTTGGGTAAAAGTTTATCTATTCATTGTTCATGGGATTATTATTTCCAGATTGTGTTCTATGGGTAGTGTCTTCTTTCCTTTCTGAGGTCATAAAGGAAAGCTTTGAAAATTTAAATGGAGTGATTTAACTTGGGTAATATTTGAGCGAGGGTTTAAATATTAATACAATAGCTTGGGTCTGAGGAATTGAGATGAACAAAATGAAAAGGGAAAAAATCCAAGTGTGTGCCAAGAGGTCCATGTAATTCTGCTAACAATATCATTTGAACAGAGAGCCATTCTTCTGAAATGTCACTTAGTGAGTGGGTGGAAGGACCAATGATAAAATGAATTTTCTTAATATAGCTTTCTAATATAAATTTTGAAAAAAAGCATAAAATACTAGCTTGCATTAAAATGCTATGCTAAAATTATATGTCAACACTATAGAAATTTGATTAGAAACTTGCTAGTAAAATTTACTAAAATTTATTTGGCAATCTATCATGAAGTTAGGCATGAGAGAACAAAACCAATCCGTTGAGTTAATTGCTAGGAAACTTGCTATTGTGTGACTTTTTCTTTTTTAAATTTGAGATTCTGATAATCAAATATCAATATAGAAATGCATGGGCCCATGATAAGGAAAACAACTTGAAAAAAGTTTAATCTGAACTTTTCTTTTCCTGGATTTAGCTACAAATAACTTTCTAATATGTTTTTAAGAAAATGATTCCTGGGGATACATACTATTTGCTGTCCTCCTCAGTGATACTAGATCATTCATAATTTCAGTGAACACTTGAATTAAGAATTGACCTATATATTGAAACAGAAAATTTATAAAAGTTGCATAGAATTTTATTAAAATCTTATTATGTCTGTTTACATGACAGACCAAGAAAAGATTCCCAATGGGAAATCAGCTACTTTTCATGACAAAATAGGATTGTTAAAACTATGTATTATTAGAAAAGTTCCCATCCCAGATAGATGATATAATGGTAAATAAAAATAACTTTGAAAAGAGGTTAAAACTTGATATAAAGTGAAGTGTTTACTACTATTAGTTCAATCTCTTTTAGCATTAGTACTTTCTTTAAACACTTTTATATTTGAAGGAATCTGAGGCAGAATGCATGGCTTATTCATCAGCACATAATATAGTAAATAATTTTCTATCAAAAAGTATTTATAAATTAGATTAACATTTACCCATAGAGCTCTTTACATTGGAAATGAGAGTTTTCAGAATGAAAGAGAATAAAATTAAATCTGCATATTTATATACTACTTATATGGGGAGACTTTTATTGAAGTGGCTGGGATACCATTTCTATGAAATGTATTTCTCTGAACATAAATCTTCTAAATACTGGGGGAGACCATGTGATTGTTAAAGCTTGGAAGTAAGACTTTCAGATAAACACTGCATGCTTCCCTTTGAATATTAGGCAGACATTAGAGAAAAAAACATCTAAATAATGAACTTTTCCCTTTTTAAAAATTACTATGAATTGGCATCAGTTTTCACATATAAACACATCCTCAAATAATATATTGTGATTGAAACATTAATAGAGAACTAAACTATCATATAATCTTTATAGGTGTTTGTGTGTGTGTGTGTGTGTGTGTGTGTGTGTGTGTGTTGTTGTTTTTTTGGAAGAAGGTTTACATTTGCTTTTAATAGCATGTCATCATGCTACACTAAATAATTGAATGCATTACACATTTTTGTAATTTAATAGCTCTTCTAAAAGCTCTCCCTTACCTCCTCCCCAAGTTATAACTGTGTTATTTGCCCGGAGGTAGGAGAAACCTTAATTTCACTATTTTATAACCCACAACAGTTAACACTTGACCCAGGTCATTAACAGGATTATCAGCAAATTTGTTTAAGCTTTTACTGACAACCTGAATTGCTATGATAATATTTTGATTGTGCCGGAAAGAAACTTCTTATAACCTCTCAAAATCTATAATGAAATTAATTCATTCTGAATCTATATCTTCCCAAAGACTAACATTGATAATGATGATTCAAGTGAGGAAAATATCAACTTTGATACTTCATTCTCCTCACTTTTATATTTTATATATCACACCACTGTAGTCCTTGTCATAAATGACCAATTAAATACTTGTTTAAGTAGTGAATGTTTTGACAATAACAATCTATTTATTAGTACAAACTTATTTAATGTAACTATCAACACTTTCAATTTCATATTTTTTATTATTGATGGCATAGTTGATATCATTTTTCTGCCTATTTTAAGATATAAAGTCAAATGGATATATTAATAACTAAGAAGCAACTGGAACTTTTTATACACACATATAATAAAACACCATTGCCACGTGTTAGATCATGGTTGCATTTATATAATGTTGTCTTTTCCATGAAACACTGGAAATTAGGAGCTACAATGAAAAGCACTTCAATTTAACATAAAAGTTTTAAACAAAATGTACATAATCGAAACTTTAAAAGTGTTTTTTAAACATTGTTAAATTTGTTTAGAAAGTTTCATATGTATTTTTTTATTATTTGTATATAATTAGGGTTTGCTTCTTGTTCATTTAAACAATTTAGTAGTTTCACCTTGACTCTTAAGAAACGTATCTTTAAAGGATGAATTTAGATTTTTTATCATGTTTATATATTATCCATATTTTAATACTCAAATGTGGGTGTGTTCTTAGGGCTCTTCAATTTAAATAGTTTATTTTCTCACAATAACTTTATTAAGATTCCTAAATATTAAAATTGTTTCTGAAACTTTGAATTTTTCAGAAATAAAATACTTGCAGTTTTTAAATATCAAATAATCAGTTACATATGCAAAGGATCTTTAAAGGCAAAACATATTTCCACAGTATATTTGATTTACTAACTTCAACGCAAATGGAAACAGCAAGAACTGTTCTTGAGAGGTACATTTTCCAAGTCATAAAATCTTCCAGAAAATATTAATAAAACTTTCCACAAATCATCAGAACTTGATAAGTTTTTACAGACATTCACTTACTAAAAAATCTGTGATGT